CAATAAATGAAATGGATTCAAACTAAAAAGTTTCTTCTCAGCAAAAGAAACAATCAGTGAGTTGAAGAGAGAGCCTACAGAACGGGAGCAAATTTTCACCACACGCACATCAGATAGAGCACTAATCTCTAGGATATGTAAAGAACTCAAAAATCTTAACACCAAAAAACAAAAACAAACAAACAAATAACCCAATCAATAGTGGGCCAAGGAACTGTAGACATATCATCAGAAGATGATATACAATCAATAAACAAATATATGAAAAAATGTTCAACATTTCTAGCAATTAGAGAAATGCAAATCAAAACTACTCTTAAGATTTCATCTCACTCCAATCAGAATGGAAGCTATTAAGAATACATAAACAATAAGTGTTGGTAAGAATGTGGGGAAAAAGGCACACTTATACGTTGCTGGTGGAACTGCAAATTTGTGCAACCAATATGGAAAACAGTTTGGAGATTCCTTGGAATCAGCGATCCCACTCCTCGGTTAATACCCAAGGACTTAAAACTAGCAGCTACAGTGACACAGCCACATCAATGTTTATAGCAGCACAATTCACAATAGCTAAATTGTGGATGTCCTTCAGTAGATGAATGGATAAAGAAAATGAAGTATATATACACAACGGAATATTACCCAACATTAAAAGAGAATAAAATCATGGCATTTGCAAGTAAATGAATGGAGTTGGAGAATATTATGCTAAGTGAGCCAATCCCCCAAAACCAAATGCTTTCTCTAATATGTGGATGCTGATCCATAATGGGGATGGAGGGAGGGGAGCATGGTAGGAATGGAGGAAGAGGATAGGGAGAAGGGGAGGGAGGGGAAGAGAGGGGTCATGGGGGTAGAAAATGGTGGAATGAGATGGACATTATTACCCTAAGTACATGTATGAAGACACGAATGGTGTGACTACTTTGTATACAACCAGAGACATGAAAAAATGTGCTCTATATGTGTACTAAGAATTGAAATGCATTCTGTCATGTATAACAAATTTTAAAAAATTATCCACTAAAATGAGACATTAAATCCATTACAGTGAACTGAAGACCTACTCATGAAAAATACTGTAAAACTAGGTCCATCGAGATACAAACTATTGAAGTTGGGCACAGGGGTACACACCTGTAATCCTAGGGACTTAGGCAAGAGGATGGCAAGTTTGAGGCCAGCCTCAGCAACTTGGTAAGACCCTACCTAAAAAAAAAAAAAAAAAAAGGACTGGGGATGTAGCTCAGTGGTAGAGCACCCTTAGGTTCAATCTCTAGTCTCTCTGCCCTACAAAAAAAAAAAGACAAATTATTACCTGTGCTAGAAAAGTCAAAATACTGATGGGTGGCCAGGCACGATGACATATATCTGTAATCCCATTTACTTCAGAAGTTTGAGGTCAGCCTGACCAATTTAGCGAGATCCTGTCTTAAAATAATAAAAGGGCTGGGGAGGTAGCTTAGTGGTAGAGTTCCCTCAGGTTTAATCCCCAGTACTGTACAAAGAAAAAAACATAAAGAAAGGGTAGAGGATGGGTAATTTTTTCCTGATTTCTTAATATAATTTTAAAAAATATTTATTTAGCTGGACACAATATCTTTATGTGGTGCTGAGGATTGAATCCAGGGCCTCACACATGCTAGGCGAGGAGCGCTCTACCACTGAGCCACAATCCCAGCCCTTAACATAATTTTTAACCCAGAAATTTCAATTCTAGGAATTTGTCCTAAAAGAATAAGACAAACATCGTATAATATACTATGTCCAATGATGCTGGAGTATATGTTTATGGCCATACACAGGAATACTATGCAGCAGTAGTTAAAATTATATATTCATTGACATGAAAATATATTCAATGCTGGACCTATCTCAAAAAAATCAAGCACTGGGAATGTAGTTCAGTGGTAGAGTTCAATCTCTAGTACTCATCACCCTAAAAAAGTTCAAGTGAAAAGGAGTTTGTAACTATAAACACATGCATGTTCACACTCTTCTGTATTCATTAACAAAAAGAAAAACATACATCCGAGCATGCACAGGGTAGAGGAAGGGAGCAAGATATATGAAATATTGACTTATTAACTCTGGGTAGTGAATTTGTAGAATTATTATTCCTTACCTTCTACAAATATTTCACTTTTCTACTGTGGATTCCTAATATTGAAGAAAATTACTTGGGGGCAGAGTGGCACCTTGGGACCAAAGACTTTATTATCACCATGCCCTTAGGGAAGGCAGTATGTGTGTTTGGGGATGGTAGTGGCAGAGCTTCCCGGGGTGTGTTTGAAAGCACATCTTTTCAAGAACTATGTATTGCTGCTTCTGGCACTTTCCTAAGTGTGTTCTGTTCCGTCAACAGTACCACAGATGTCACAGAAAAGGGTTCACTGTCCTTGTTTGATAAATGCTAGGTTAAGACATAAGTAGTATAAAACTTAGAATGTTTGCTATGCAGTCCCAGGAGGAAAGGACATGGGACACACACTATTCAAGCCACAGACCCTTTGTTTTGCAACCCATAAAAAGTAACAGGACTGCCAGGCGAGGTGGTGCTCACCTATAATCCCAGCAGCTAGGGAGGCTGAGGCAGGAAGATTGTGAGTTCAAAGCCAGCCTCAGCAATAGCAAGGCACTAAGCAACTTAGTGAGACCCTGTGTCTAAATAAAATACAAAATAGGGCTGGGGATGTGGCACAGTGACAGAATCCCTCCGAGTTCAATCCCCACTACCAAAAAAAAAAAAAAAAAAAGGTAACAGGCTTTCTACGTAACACACTTGAGGAATGCTAATGTTTACCCAAAGAATGAAGATTATTATGCCACATATTTCTATCCAGGATCTGAGGGCTTCTGGCCGTTTTCCTTGCATGCAAACCCCAATACTGCAAAAAGGGAAAACAAAACAAAAACCCAAATCATCACCATCACCATATAAACCTGTTTCTCCACCCATCAGTGGGCACAGAAATCACCATGATGATCACGATCCTCCCCCTTTTTCAAGCGGAACTCTCAAACCACATAGTAAGGCTAAGAATTGCTTGTGAAATTTTTGTATGTGCACTTATAATTTCATAATATGTGGTTTGCGTTGGTCACAACATAAAATATATTTATTACTATGAGTTGCAATAAAAAATTTGAAAGCCACTGAATTAAAGACATGAAATTTATTGGTAAATAGAATCAACACCTATACCAACACACCCCAAAATCTACCTTTTAATTAATTAAAAGAAGAAAATCATCAAAGCAATACAGTTAGCTAGATCTCCAACTTACAAGTGAGTTAAGTACCAAAAGTTTGAATATTACGTGTTAGGAGAAACTGTTAATAAAGAGAGTGGGTCCCCAATTAGTTCACAAAAGGCAATTTAAACAGTGGGGCTTATTAGCTACAGTACTAAAGTTATTACAAACAACTTTCTCCATTTTGCTTGTTTGTGTTGGAGGTTCACTGTATCTTGAAGGAAACATTCTCCCCACACCCATGCCTAGGTCTCATCACTAAGCACACATCCTCCCAGCACAAACAACCATCATTCCACTTGGCAGTCCCCAAGTTGTGCTTAGGACTTCAGAGAAGGAAAAGATCAGAGATTCCATAGCTATAACTGAGGTAGAATATGGGGCTCCCAAGAACACCTTCCAGATGACCCAGGTCTATTTCTCTTCCACCCCAACCCCAGCTCTGGCACAAGGTCAAGCATGAGAAAGATACTTACTCACAAATTGTATATGATTTTTATCTTTATTGATTTTTAAAAATATCTTTGTTTTATTTATTTATTTATGTATGTGGTGCTGAGGATTGAACCTAGTGCCTTACACATGTGAGGCAAGCACTCAACAACTGAGCTGCAACCCCAGCCCATCAGTGGTAGAGTGCTTGCCTAACATGCGAGAGGCCCTACACTCAGTCCCCAGTACACAATAAAAAAGGGAAACGTGGTGTGTGTGTGTGTGTGTGTGTGTGTGTGTGAGAGAGAGAGAGAGAGAACAAAAAGAACCATGGTTTATTGCACCTTTTATTGGGTCCCAAACTACTACAATTTAAAAAATAAAAATCACTGGTTTTAATGCTGCTAACTTGCTACTGATATAATCAATAGCTACTTTTATCACCTGACCATTTCTTTTGTAAACTGTTTAGACATAAAGGTTCTATCACCAACATGCGGCTTTGCATCAAGGAAGACATGTCAGTGCCTAGGGAACCCTGGCCTGCTGTATTTCTCCTTAAATACAGGAACTTACGGTAAAAAAAATGCTACTCTCTAGCTTAACACTGTGATCCTACCAATTTCATTATGTCCTGGAAGATTATTTAGAGTTTTTCTGAAGAGTAAACATCAATGAAAAGGTCAGTGAAAGCTGCTCTTAAAAGGCCCCTCAAATACTCCATCAGCTTCCAGCGTCTTTCATCTGGGCAGAATACAAACTTCCATTCCAAACCAGACTAACCCATCGTGGCACAAATATAAACCAAGGTTCTAAATTCTCAAGTGAAATAGGATGATACCCAGTGGAAATCAGGTGCCAGTAGAGTGCAGACCCAGTAAACCCCCTAGGCTTTTTTGGCTGTGGCAGCTGCTTGATCTCAATCCTCACTGGCCCAGCCCTATGAGCCCCGGGGAGAGGGTCATGGCTTCAGGAAGGGTGCTCTGTGCAGCCCCAGCCTGAGGGAGAGTTGGTACAATCACCTAGCCCTTTAGTTCTCACCTGACCACACAGCCTCTGATCTGGTCACCTAGTAGGCATAGCAGCATCAGTTCACATGGCAGGCACCACATCCCATACCAGGACTTTTAAAGTCACAGGAAAACTGGTTGCGATAGTTATATTGCATCCCAGGCCCTCCAAGTGGTAGACATTTAGATTAATAGCTGACACACACCCAATTTTTCCAGTTTTACCTCTCACTTTTATGTACCAGAACAAGTTTGGAAGGTTAAAGCAAGGAAAGGGTGAGAAATCATTTCAGCATATACTTTTCAGGTTCTGCCAGACAACCTTTTATTACATCATAAAAGCAACACTAGGCACTAGATCTTGCAAAATATGTTCTGACCAACTCTAAACTTTCTGAAATTAAAACTGCATAACCACATCTGTAATATTTTTAATGAACAAAAAGTTAAATACAAACTTTCATATGCAAAATAGACTATTATATAACCTCAGAGCCAAGTGCTACGTCTTCTTCCACAGATCTGAATAGGGGTGGAGTGGGGGATGTTAATCTTAATGAGTAAAAAAACTGCATTTTAGCTAAAAAAAAAAAAAAAAAAAAAAACTTTGAGGAAAAACAGAGCTTTAAACTGAATACTGTCCTGTGACATGGAGAGCTCTGGCCAACCCTTACTGAGGTTTATGTTCAAACACATATAGGATGAAAATGAAGATTTAGGGTCTATAGTTACTTTGAATCCAGTTTCAAGAGTCAGCCAAGTCACCTCAATTCCAGAAAGGGAAGTGTCTCTAAGATGACCATGACACTCTTCTGAAGACACATGGATGGCCAGACCTCCTTGGCCACACTGCTACTTCTCCACAACACTGTGCCGATGCTGGAGTGTCATATTTCCTCTGAAAGGCCATCGGCCCCGACAACACAGCATTTTTGTTTATCCTGGCATTTTCCAGCCTCAAAAATGGGGAGATCCCTTACTTCAAGTTGGCAGTTACTGCTCCAGCATTAGAAAAGTTAATTAACATTTCCTTCCTCTCCCCACTGATGTCCCTCCTGATCTTCAGCAGGGAGTGGCAGTTTGATTAACATTCCTTTCAGAAATAAATAGTTCAAACAAGTAATTTAGAGTTAACTGTAAAAGAGCAGTGGAAAATGGCCACTGCCCAATATTTGCAAATGAGTGAGCAAATGAATGCACGTGAACAAACACACAGAAAAAAAAAAAAAAAACAATTCATAGAATAAATCCTGCATTTCCCACATTCATAGGGAAAGAACTCTTTAAAACAAAAAACATAATAATTAGCGTTTGTTCTTGTGTGGGTTGAACAGTCCAGGGCTCTGAGCAGGCACAGCCTTACAGACAGGGTTGCAAGCAGCCCCTCCACACCCCAAGTCAGGACTGTAGTGCAGCGAGGGGCCTCCATGCACTTTTGACAGCTCAGTACCTGTGAGAGAACAGAAATGATGCAGGGACTTTTTAACCCACAATGCATGAGGTATATGGAAACGTCCGTGAAAGAACCACCAGCAGCTAGAGGGAGCAGGCGGGGCTTTCTCACAGCAACTGCTGATGAAGGATTTCCCACACCATCTTCTTCCGGAAGAGAGGCATCTGGTGCTGCAAAAAATCCCATAAACAATGCACTCAGTTACACACTGATGAGGGCAGCATCACAACCTGTAGGTGTCATCATGTAAACGAAGTGAGCTGTCCATGTCCTTATGTCAGCCTTGACATTTTTACATCATGGCATAAACCTTACAAAGCATAATGTTCATAATTATGGGTTTGGACGTCAGCATTGGGGGAAAAAAATACATGTGTATCAAAACCAGAAATGTCCAAGAGACAACAAGCAACTTTTCTATTTAAATGTACTTTTGAGGGGCTGGGGATGTGGCTCAAGCGGTAGCGCGCTTGCCTGCCATGCGCGCAGCCCGGGTTCGATCCTCAGCACCACATACAAACAAAGATGTTGTGTCTGCCGAAAACTAAAAAATAAATTTAAAAAAAATAAAAATAAAAATAAATGTACTTTTGAAACGTTCTATGGTGAACATTATTTGCTTTTATATGAAAAAAGTGGCCTTTATTTATATAAGGAAAATTTTGATCTACAAATTCCTGTTTTATACACTGCCAATTCTGTTAAAAAAAAAAAAAGTTTCTTCCCTTGAAATCTCAAGTTCAGAGAATAATCAACTCCTTGCTAAATTTAGCAGCATCAAAAAATGAAATGTAGCTGGGTGCAGTGGGGCACACCTATGATCCCAGCCATTAGGGAGGCTGATGTAGGGAGATCACCAAGTTGGAGGCCAGTCTCAACAACTTATTGGGACCCTATCTCAAAATAAGAAGTAGTAGAGCGCCCCTGGGTTCAATCCCTAGTACTAAACCAAACAAATAAATAAAAAAAAGAGAGATGTTTTGCTTAATGATACTGCCTTAACTGACAATAACTGCATAGGCTATTTTTTTAAAAAATATTTATTTATTTTTTTAGTTTTCGGTGGACACAACATCTTTATTTGTATGTGATGCTGAGGATCGAACCCGGGCTGCAGGCATGCCAGGCAAGCGCGTACCGCTTGAGCCACATCCCCAGCCCCTGAATAGGCCAATTTTTGAAGCAGCAAAACAAGACAACACCAAAATAACCTGTAACTCAACTGCCTACCCCCTACCTTCTGATGAATTAGAAGTTTACACCCTTAATGTACTATTATAAATAGTTGGGTACATAACTTTATTATAAATTACTAGTGAGTTCCTGGTATGGGGTGGGAAGTCTTAATTTTTTTTTTTTTTTGGTACTAGGAATCGAACCTAGAAACCTGGAGGCACTTAACCACTGAGCCACATCCCCAGCCCTTTTTTGTTTTTTATTTCAAACAGGGTCTTGCTAAGTTGCTTAAGGCCTTACCTAGTTGCTGAGGCTGACTTTGAGCTTGTGATTCCCCTGCCTTAGCCTCCTGAGCTGCTGGAATATGCCACTGCACCTGGCTATTAATTTTTTTGAATAGTCAAAACATAGAGTTAAAAAAAACTGTACATTCATTCTTAGTCAAACTGTGCCTTTCCTTTAGACTGCAATTGTATGAATTCAGCAATTGTATGAACCCTGGTTACTTCATGCTGTGCCAAAGTTTTGTTTGGCAAACATCAGATTGAGATCTGCTGAAGAGAAATATATTTTAATGCGGGTAATACTTATTTGTAAAAAGGTTCAGCATCCACCATTAGAAACAGAAATTCTCAAGAGTTCCCAATATACTTGAATTTTCACTCAAATGTAGAAGCATGGGGAAACCAAACTAACCAGAACAGAAAGGAACAGCAGTATTCATGGTTATGTCTTAGACCTGAGGCTCACGTTTTCACAAGGCCTAATTTTTCCTTTTTATTACATATTCTCACATGCCTCCCTCTTTAGCTAAAAATACATATGAACCAGTGAACAATGAAGTTCAGAAACATGAAAATTATCCCATTTTTCACCAGAGACCAGGATAAACCTGAGAACAGATGCTAGGACAAACTCTGATTCTGGCAAGAGCAGAACTATGCCCAAGGGTTACTGCAATAACACTATATAGCAGAGCAACTACTATAACTGAGGGCTTAATGTGTGCCAGGCACTGACTAGCAAAGTGTTCCACCTTGTACAGTAACAAGGAAGTGGATAAGGAAGGATCTTTACTCACCTGAGTAAATGTGATAGGTTTGTCCCTAGAAATATAATCTGCATATTTACAAGTAAACATTCCACAATCACTCCCATTCAACTGTTGAGGAATCTCCTAAAATTACAAAAACAAAGAGAGGAAGTGGTAAAGTATCGCCAAATACAACAACTTCCTTAGATTTTTTTCTAAATATCTAAATACTGTGGAAAAACAGTATTATAAAGGTAAAGGTTAAATCTAACATTGTACAAACACACAGACACACACACACTAACACAATTAGCTTTACTCCTAAAAATCCTAATCATGACGTAAGAGCATGGGACCCCATGGAAAATGTTTTTTAGGAGAAAGGAGAAAAGCAAAGTAAGAGTTCCATCTCTTAGCTCTCATTCAAAGAAACTAAACTGAGGGCTGAGGGTATAGCTGAGTGATATGACAGAGCACTTGCCTAGTTACTTAAGGTCCTGGTTCCATCCCCAGCACTTAGAAAAACAAAAGAAATGAAACCAAACTGGAAGGTGTATTACTAGGAACAGGAATGCTAGTCAGAATTATTTCAGAAAGTTATAACTTTAAAAAAGGTTATGTGTAGGTTAATCAAAGAGACACTTAAAATGTAACTAACCTACTTGGAAATTGCAGTTTATCTTCTCATCCTAGCCAGGAAAACAGGCCTACTGCTTTGGACCCCTATCAAGAGGAACAGACACAAAGCACCAATAAAAAATAAGGGGTTGAGGGTGGGGAGAAAGAGGGACAAGTAAAAAAGCCTCTGATAAGCTTTAACCCATTGCAATCTGTCCCTTAAGCAGAAACAGAACTTGCTGCAAGCATCACAATGCCTGACAGAGTAGTGCACACCAATACAGTAATCTCAGTCACTTGGGAGGCTAAGACAGGAGGACTGAGCCAAGTTCAAGCCAGCCTTGGCAACTTAGCAAGATCCTGTCTCAAAAAAGAAAACAACAACCCCCCCACCCAAAAAAAAAAAAAAAAAAACACAAACAGGGAGAGGGGTTGAGTGAGGATACAGGAATATAGCTCAATGATAAAGTGCCCCTGGGTGCAATCTCCAGTACCTGGGGGGATGGGGGAGGAAGGGGAAAAGAGCATCATAAGCCAAAGGTGGAAAATTTCAAACCCACAGGATGTAAGCTTACATATCCCCAGGGCCTATCTTATCCTAATCTTGACCAACCCTTTATACACTTGGGCTGTTAGTCATAGAGTACAAGATAGTAAAACACTGATTCCACTGCTAGAAAACAAACATACTCAATGACAAAAGCACCATTTTTTATTCACAGAAATACAGTTGATTGCTGTAAAAAGAAAAGACAGAACATGCACACATCCCATACATATGCTAGGTGCCTCATACTTTTCTCCCTGGGCTGGCATCTCTCAGAGGACACAGAACTACAGACTCCAATCTACAAAGGAAGAGTATTTGTTTTTTTAAATTACATTTTCCACACCAGAACACAGTACTGATCCTATTCGACTCATACCTGTCCTCTCCTCAGGAAATTTCAAGGCTCAACTTCCAAATGATTTAATTTGGAAATGGAAATGCTTTTGTATGAAAATAGTGGAGTCATCATATACAGGTTAGGACTAAAATGGAATTCATGTGGCTAACTTTAAAGCGTAGTTATTAGGATTCAAAGAGGGACACATTTTCAAATCTTAAATTGGAAGGAGATTCAGCATGCTTGACTCTTGAAAACCCATGGCATGAGACCCTAAACCCAAATAAACAAATCCCCAGATAAATTTTGGACAACAACTTTAAACTTTCATTAGTACTAAGAAAAGTAACTGACTTAAATTTATTTATTTTTTGTTTTTGTTTTTCTATTTTTTTTTTTTTTTTTACTGGGGATTGAACTCAGGGGCACTCAATCACTGCGCCACATCTCCAGCTCTATTTTGTATTTTATTTAGAGACAGGGTCTCACTGAGTTGCTTAGCGCCTCGCTTTTGCTGAGGCTGGCTTTGAACTCACAATCTTCCTGCCTCAGCCTCTCAAACCGCTGGGATTATAGGTATGTGCCACCTCACCCAGCTTGTTTTTCTAATTCTGAGATGTGCTTGTGTGTGTGTGTGTGTGTGTGCACACGCACTCGCGCGCACACTATCTATATTTCAATTTGACATGACTACAGCCATCTTGAGCCATAACTGCCCCTAAGTAACTCTCAGTTTTCCTCACTTGTCTCCCAGCATACTTCAAATAGACAAAACAGTAGAGTAATACGTGGAGTATTACAGCCAGACTCTGGCAGAGTAAGTGAAAGCAATGCATCTAAAGTCTTTCATAGTCACTTGAGATAAACATGATTATCTTGGCTTGAATTAAGTCACCTACTTCCCAACTACTTTATAAATTATTCTGACCCAAATCGTGGATATCTACCCGTCTTGCTGACACCTAGGACCATGCTTCTGTCAGTAAGTGTCCAATTACTAGCACTCTGCAATCCTGGATCTATCTACCTCTTTCTTGGATCTCATGGTACCTTGGGACTGGTTCTCATATAGTGGAACTGGGTTTTTCCAAAAACCAGTTTTAATAGAGTTAATAGATTTGGAGCAAGATAGTGTTAGATAAAGACTAAGAAGGAACTATTTTGGTTAAATAAATGGCTGAAGATTTGGAACTAGGTCATTTTTAAGATCTATACTTTAGGACTGGGGGTGTAGCTCAGTGGTGGAGTGTGTGCTTAGCACTCATGAGACCCTGAGTTCAATTCCCAGCACCACACACACACACACAAAGATATACATTTAGGCGGCTGGGGTGTGGCTCAGCTATAGAGCACTTGCCTCCCACTTAAGAGGCACTGGGTTTGATCCTCAGCACCACATAAAAGTAAATAAACAATAAAGATACTGTGTCCATATGTAACTAAAAAATATTTTTTTAAAAAAAGATGTATATTTAGGAGAATGCATGCTATGCATGCTTAAAGCAGTGAGTGAAGTGAGGATAAGAAAGAAGCCAAGACTGAATAAAATGATACTGTCAGTAAATGAAACAAAGTAGGCCAAATATAGATAAACATCACTTACATGTGGCTTCATGCTGTAGTGGGTCCACTCTAAAAGATTTAGATCAATATTTCTTTTGGTCTTACTTTCATCCTGTAAATACTGACTAAAGAAAACAAAAACAGCAAAGAATGAATATATCAATGAATTCCTAGGAAAATGACCATTGTGACAAAGGATTTTGTGATGTTTAACAGATATGCCATTCTCAATCCCAGTTACATTAGATTTTTTTAAAATGTGACTGCTTTTGTGTCTTTAATTTTCTAACAAAAATTGTACATGAAAAGACCACTATAATAACCACTCCAGAAATAATTACTATTACCAAATTGTTGTAATGTACCTGCATACATAAGTTTTTGTTTGCTTGTTTATTTATCTGGGTACTGGGGATTGACCTAGGGGTGTTCTACTAACAAGCTACATCCCTGGCCCTTTATATTTTTTAAACAGTGTCTTACTCTAAGTTGCCCAAGGTAAACTTGAATTTGCGATCCTTTTGCTTCAGCTTCCCAGATCACTGAGATTATAGGCATGCCCTACTGCACCTGGCTATACACACAATTTTAAAACACACACTTTATTCTCAGTGGTGCACACCTATAATCCCAGCAACTTGGGAGTTGAGGCAGGAGGATCAAAAGTTGGAGGCCAGCTCAGCAACTTAGCAAATCTCTCTTCAATTTAGCAAGACTCTGTCTTAAAATATAAGAAGGATTGGGGATGTAGCTCAGTGTAAAGCACCTCTGGGGTTCAATCCCAGGTACCATTAAAGAAAAAAAAAAAGCCCTCATTTAACAACTTGCTTTTTCTCAGTTCAAAATCAATATGACATAAGATATATGTCCTGAACTCTTGAGAAATTAAAAGGCAAGAAGACTGTTCTGAATTAAAGGAGAGACTAAAAAAGACATTAAAAACATGTCTGCACCCTGATTGGCTCTTGGACTGATGGGAGGATACAAAGGATACCTGGAGAGGCTGTGGTTTTGGCTCAGTGCTAGAACACTTGCTTAGCATTCGTGAGGCACTGGGTTTGATACTCAGCACTGCATATAAATAAATGAATCAAATAAAGGTCTGTCAACATTTTTTTTTTAATTTTTAAAAAAGATACCTGGAGGTATCAGAATATGGACCATATATTACATATTAATGATTGTTATAAGTGTGATAGTAGCATTGTGATTATATAGGAGAATTTCATTATTCTTAGGAGAATATATATTTACCTACTAGGAATGATTAATTTTATCCACATATTTAGGTTATCAAATTCAGCAACCTAAACATCAGTCCTAATCCTAAGGTGCATAGAAGGTAAGCCTGCATTAGACCAGGACATACAGTTTCAATGGGTGCAGTACTGTTCCAAACAGGGTAAAACATAGTTCCTAGGGGATAAAAATCATAGATATTTCAGTGGGTTGTAGCCTTCCAAAACTCAACTCACTCAGACTTAATCATTAGTATAATTTTTTCTTATTATGGAAAAATTAAATTAAAATTTTCTCCTGGTGGGTAAGATAATGAAAAAAAGATTGAGAAAAATCGGACTAGGTGCATCAGGAAACAAAAACTATATGACTATAGTATGACTATAAAAAAGTATGGACTTTTTTTTTTCTTTTTGGTATCCTGTTATAAGCAGAAAACAAAACTGTATTGTGTGATTTCAATAAGCAGTAATAAGCAGTTCCTATGTATGCAATAATATATTAGTACATGTGTTTATGCACTCACAAATACATATGCACATTCTATATTTTACATAGGAAAGACTAGAAGGATTATATATAATTTGGTGTATCTTCTGATTTTTAAAAATTTCTTTTTTGTTCAAGATAAACAATCATAAATATAAAGATCATTTTTTTTTTAACTGGGAATTGAATTCAGGGCCTCATGTGTGCTAAGCAAGTGCTCTATCACTGAGCTTTAGCCTCAGTGATTTTTTGTTTTTAAATGGGGTCTTGCTAAGTTGCTATGGCTGTCCTCAAACTTGTGATCCTCCTACCTCAATCTTGAGTCACTGGGATTACAGGTGTGCAACACCATACCCAGTTGAAAAGATCTTGTACAATAAAACAAATTGCAGGGGGGAGATAAATGAACTAATTATGGTTAAGAACAACTTTTCTTTGTAAGATTCATTTAAAAAGTTTACTCATTCTTACCAAGGTAAAAGAAGGGAGCCTGCAGGCTGGGGTTTTGGCTCAGTGGTAGAGTGCTTGCCTAGCATGTGTGAGACACTGGGTTTGATCCTCAGCACCACATAAAAATAAATAAATAAAGGTACTGTGTTCATCTACAACTAAAAAAAAAAAAAGGAGCTTGTATTTGCTTCCAGCAAACAGAGGAAGTTCAAAAGGGTCTTATCTGGCCAGGTACTCCTGGGTGAACTCCTGGTTTTTTCCTCCACTACCACACACACACACACACACACACACACAAAGTATGGTGGGGAGTGGGGCTTCTCTTCCTGATGTGCTACTTCCTTTCAAATTCATGTCACCAGTTTACAAGCTAATAATTATGCTTTAAAGGCAGGTTTCTAACAATTGCTACAGGAGTACCTTCTTATCTGTGATTTTACTTTCTGTAGTTTTAATTACCCATTATTCAAAGACATTAAATAGAAAATTCGAAAAATAAACAATTCATAAATTTTAAATTGCATACTGTTCTAAGTAGCATGAAGAAATCTTACATCATCTGCTCCAGACCATCTGGCACATGAATCTTCCCTTTGCCTAGCATATTCACATTGCATATACTACCTACCTGCATTTAATAGCAGTTTTGGTTATGAGACTGGCTATCCTGGCATTTCAGGGCTTGTATTCAAGTAACACTATTTTACTTAATAATGGTTACAAAGAGTAAGAATAATGATACACAGGAAGCTCCAGGGCAAAAAATATGGAAGGACAGATTAACTCTGATACTATGTGGCAATGCTATAGGCACATAGCAAAAAACATAGTATATGTAGGGTTCAATACTGTCTGTGGTTTCAGGCATCCACTTAGAGTTTATACCAACAGATACAGGGAGAACTACTTTCTGTATTTGAAATAGCTGCCTACAAACCACACATTATAATTTAAAAACTGCCTTTGGGTTCTATGAGATGAATCCAACTACTACGGAAAGCACAGAGACAAGAGTGGATTTCATAATTTATAGGACCAATACTCCCCAACTAATAATTCTTTGAATATCCAGAAGAATGTATCAATCCCAAAGAAATCTAATTTAAATCACAGGACTATATTAAGATATATTTTACATTATAAATACAAGATAAACTTTTTTTCAAAGATGCTATTAAATACGACTTCTCAGGTTCGATCAGCCACTGGGAAGACAGCTTTAACTGTATATTAAGGCTGCCATCCAGGCCTGGTGAGGTGGTGCATGCCTATAATCCCAGAGGTTCGAGAGGCTGAGGCAGAAGGATTTCAAGTTCAAAGCCAGCCTCAGCAACTCAAGTGAGGCCCTAAGCAATTTAGTGAGACCCTGTTGCTGGCAGCTGGGGTGCTGTCTCTAAATAAAATATTTAAAAGGGGTGGCGGCGGGGAGCGGTGAGTACTTGGGGTTTGGCTTAGTGGTTAAACACCTCTGGGTTCAATCCCTGATACCAAAAAAAGAGACTGCCATTCAGAGCTTACTAAAATTAAATAAAAGAGATATCAACAAAAAGGGCACAATGAGACAACAGTGAAGTTTTCTAGCCTTACTTACAGAAGAATCTCACAGATCCTGTGGCCCTTTTGTCCCATAGAATCCAGGTATTTAAGACACTTTTTTCTTAGGTCCATCACCTATAATGGAAAGATGGCAACACGGAAAAGCTGAAATATCTTAAACATTAACAGAAACACAAAATTTAATTCCAAACGAAAAGCATCTTTAAAAAAATCAACACATGTACAAACATGGATTAATTTAGAAACATGTTGAGTTTTTAAAAGTTATAAAATATCACAGAGATATGAGTTTAATATTATATATTTATATTTCTAGATAAAGACCTAGAAGCTTTTTTGTTTCTTCTTCACCTTCACCTTTCTTCAACAAACCTATACCACCTTACCCATCTTATAAATGAAACTAAATATACAAATAAAATTACAAAACTTATCTCTTAGAAATGAAAGCTCCACAAGTATAAGAATCATTCTTCTAGCTTTCTAAGTTGTCCAACTTAAGAACTGATTAGGAAACTGGTGCAGTGGTACATGACTACTATTTCAGCAACTCAGGAGGTTGAGGCAAGAAGCCCAAGTTCAAGGCCAGCCTTTACCTGGGAAAGACTCTGTCTCAAAATAAAAAATAAAAAGGGCTGGGGATGTGGCTCAGTGGTGGAGAGCCTCTGGGCTCACCCCTCAGTATAATAATAAGTGAAGGATGAAATACGTAGGGAGCTGGGCACAGTGGTACATGCCTATGAACCAAGGAAGGAGGGTTGCAAGTTGGGGCCAGCCTCAGCAACTTAGTGTAACCCTGTCTCAAAATAAAAATAAGAAATAGAAAAAGGCTGGAAATGTGACTTGGTGATAGAATGCATGCCTATCAGGTAAAAGTACCTGGGTTCGATACCCAGTAATGCCAAGGAAAAAAAAGAATTAAGAAAAGACTCTTTAGAGTATGCCTTTCATACATATTATCGGCCTTTCACTGGACAAAGAATGACTTTCATCATTTAAGGAAACAGTTTGCATCCAAACTCCAACAATTAACCCTCTGAACTCACCACAAGGCTCCAATGTACCTTCCGATGAATAGGCACCAGAACAAGTTCTTGTTCAAAGAGATTAACCCCTTTGGTCCATCTTTTCACTGCTTGATAACCCCCAGACTTTAATTTAGGATAGAAGAAAGTGCTGAATACATGAAGTGCTGGATAGCCTTGCTTTTTATTTCTTTCCACTAGAAGATTCATGTAAAAATTAATAACCTATAAAATACCAAAAGAATAAAAGTTGGAACATGGCAACTTTTACTATTACTATTACTTTTACTATTACTGAAACTAAGTTTCTAACTTGAATTAATATGAATTAGAAAGTGAGGTGCTTGTTGGCTGGGGCTGTAGCTCAGTGGCAGAGATCTGAGGTTCGATCCCTAGCACCATATAAAAATATATAAATAAAGGCATGTTGTACATCTATAATAAGAAGGAGAAAAGGAAGGAAGGAAGATGAGGTGTTTAGGAAAGGTACTAAGGGGAAGTCTATGGAAGAGGACAGAAATAAACTGATCGGTGTAAAATGGGAAAGATTAAGAAAGAATGAAGGGCTAGAATGTATCTCAATAATAGAGCACTTGCCTAACATGCACAAGGTCCTGGGTTCAATTCCCAGAATGCCAAAAAAAAAAAAAAAAAATTGATTCTCAGATGCACAAGAGAAAAATTACAAAGATAGCAGAAGTAGCTACCTTTGTAAGATTCAGGATGTTTTTGTTTAAAAAACAAGCAAAAAAACCCTAAACCTTGTTTTACCAGCCTCTTATAATTGGACACAAAACACTCATAAGAACCAAGAAGTCTGTGCAATAATGAAAAGGTGAATATAACTCTATCACATAAGATTTTCAGAAAAATTAACTATAAGCAAATTTTACAGTATAGAAATTATACCACAATTTAAAAAATATTAACTGGAAAGAGTTGCCAAAATAGTTATAGTGTATTTGAAAAATAATTTATTTTTCCTGTATTTTCCAAAACAAACACATTAAATTTATAATGTAAAATAAAACATTCTAGTTTTACCAGAATGTTTACCAAGGCAGAAGGATGCCACGTTCCAGGACAGCCTTGGCAATTTAGAGATAGCCTGTCTCAAAATTAATAAAAGGACTGGGAATGAAACTCAGATGTAGAATGTTCCTGAAGAGAAGAGAGAGGAAGAGAATGTGTTTATAGATAACTAAGCATGGGGGAGTGGAAACAAAGGCAAAGGGAAACAATGCAATGACTAAACAGTAGAGGAAAGGAACAACTAGAAATTTGCCAAGAATGAAGAGCTATCTGTTGCTAAACATGTACGTGTTCAAGACGACAATCAGGCAACTCTTTGAAGTTATCACTTGTTATGGTTTGAATCTGTGTATCCCTCCAAAATTCATACCAAATGGGATAAGAGGTTGGACTTTAGGGGAAGTGATTAAGGTATAACAGCTCTAATCTTACGGGTAGGATTAGTGCTTTTATAAAAAAGGTTGAATGCAGACAGCCTAGTTCCTTTTGCCCTCAGCCATATGTGAGGATTCTGTGTTCCTTCCTCCCACCATCTTATAAGCAAGGGATGGAGCCCTTACCAGAAATGAATCAGAGGTGCCCTGATCTGGGACTTTCCATCTTAAAGAGCTAAAAACAATAAATTTCTACTGTTGACAGATTACCTCTGTAGTCTGTGGTGTTTTGTTGTAGCAAGATATCATTCAAGCAAGTACCTTCCATTTATTAGGGATAACCAGGATTCATAAAAATGTCATTAAAGACTTATAAATGAAGTGGTGGATAAGGACAGATGCACAAGAGAAAAATTACAAAGATAGCAGAAGTAGCTACCTTTGTAAGATTCAGGATGTTTTTGTTTAAAAAACAAGCAAAAAAACCCTAAACCTTGTTTTACCAACCTCTTATAATTGGGCACAAATCACTTTGATTATAGATAATAGTTAACCATGATAATAGTCAAAAGAGGAAGAAAAAAAGAAAGAGCATACCTCATCATTGAGCCAGTGATAGTTCTTTAAGGTCTGGATATCTCCTCGAGTAATTCGCAATTTGAAAGCACTACTTAGGATCTCATCTGGTGGGCCATGGCCTAGGGCATTACTGATTTCTTTTTCCATATCCTGAATTAGAAAGTACAAAGGTTGCTATTTTAACAGAGAGCCATTAACAAATATTGAAAGTCAGACTAAAAAAAGTTTTCATCTCAGCAACACATGACACTTGAGAAAAAATACCATCAAAGACTTAGAAAATTCAAACTTAGAAAATATTCCAACTAAGCTGGGGGCATAGCTCAGTGGTAGAGTGCTTGCCTAGCACGCTTGAAGCCCTGAATTCAATTTGCAGTACACTAAAAATAAATTTTTTAAAAATTCAGACTTAGAACTACAAAGCAATCTTTATTAAAGATTATATGCTTGTTGACTAGATGCCTTCATTATTTTAAAGAACCGTGTAGGCCAGGTGCAGTAATCCCAGCAACTTGGGAGGCTGAGACAGAGTTCAAAGCCAGCCTCAGTAATGGTGAGATGCTTAGCAACTCAGTGAGACCATGTCTCTATACAAATCAGGGATGGGAATGTGGCTCAGTGGTTGAGTGCCCCTGTATAGACAAATGCACATTTAAGCTACAAAATGGAATTTATAAATACATTCAAAGTTATTTTCATCCTAATGATTTTTCTTTTTTTAAAATTTTTTTAGTTGAACATGGACACAGTACCTTTATTTTGCTTATTTATTTTATGTGGTGCTGAGGATCAAACTCAGTGCCTCACATGTGCAAGGCAAGTGCTCTACCACTGAGCCACAACCTCAGCCCCCCAAATGATTTTTCTACTGATTCTCTCCACTGCACACAATTTGGTTACTTTATTTAGCTCTCTTTCCACCTCCATGTCCAATATATAGTTAATGCTTGAGAAATATACACTAAATAGGACCATCAATAACAAGACATCATTGGGGGCGGGATTATGGGCTCACCTTTAAAATAAGAATTTTAACTATTTTCATTTCCTCATTTTCTGTTAAGTCTTTACTATTTTCAAATATAATAATCAATGAAAGAGATGTTTCAGTAAGCCATGATCATTACTTAAAAAAACAGAAATACATTACATTTTTTCTTTTCTTTTGTCATACTGGAGATTAAACCTAGAGGCACTTTAACACTGAGCCGTATCTTCAGCTCTTTTTGTTTCTTATTTTGAGACAGGGTCTTACTAAGTTGCTGAGGCTGGCTTTTAGCTTGGGATCCTCCTGCTTCAGCTTCTCAAGCTGCTGGGATTAGAGGAATGTGCCACTGCATCCAGCCCTAGACTTTTTTTGTTTGTTTAATTTTGTTTTAGACAGTCTTGCTAAATTGCCCAGGCTGACCTGAAACTTGCAATTCTCCTGCCTCAGACTCCTGAGAAGTTGGGATAATAGGCATATGCCACCAAGCCCAGCAAAGCATTCACTCTTTTCTCTCTTTTTTTTTAGTTGTAGTTGGACACAATACCTTTATTTATTTTTATGTGGTGCTGAGGATGGAACCCAGGGCCTCACACGTGCTATGCAAGTACTCTACTGCTGAGCCACAACCCCAGCCCCAAAGCATTCATTCTTAATGCCAATCCCATATCATATAACTCAATTTATGTTTGAAGAGTACAAAAAGAATCTGCAAAGAATCCATTATATTTGATCCATTAGGCCACCTTCCGAGAGCATCAATGACCAAGGTAGTCAAAGTGTGAAACAATCTTGACTCTATAATTTTTTTCAAACATTCATTCCTTGCCTGTAGAAACTCCTTAAAATAAAACATAACAAGTTAGGAGTAACTGAGGTTATTTTAAAAACTTGTGTCTTATTCTAATCAGCACAATATATAATACCTCTGAAAGTTCAAGGAGATCATCTGTTCTTCTATCCCTTTCTTTGCCTGAGAAATTCTTTTCCTTTGCCTCAAGTATTGACATTTTCCTCCTGAGTAATCCATTGCTTCCACTGCCCAGGCGGAGTCGAGCTGACACTTCTTCGGATAGGTCAGGCTCCATTCGGTGTCCCCTCCTCTGATCAAAAGTTTCTATATTTTATTGATATGCTTGATACTTGAACACATTACATATATTCCACAGGAAATAATATATAAAACAGTGTCATCTTAAAAGAAAAGAGAACTAGCAGATCCTCCAAGTGAATAAAGTAGATTTAGCAGAGCTGTCGTTCTGGCGAGACAGAATAAACAAGCTCTAGAGTTAAGGCTCAGAGACACTTCAATTACAAACCATAGAAAAGAATGCTCACCACTTTCCCTTAAAGTAGCAAGATAAGTAATTTCAGTTTTTCTATCCCAATTGAAATTAATGTGTTAATTTTTTTTTTTTTTAAGTTTTAAAGAGTTTTTAAAATGTGACCTAAAAATCCCATCAGTGAGAACAAACTACAGCTACCCTTATGCTATTATAATTATAGGGGCTGGAGTTGCAGTTCAATGGTAGAGCACTTGCCTAGCATGTGTGAGGCACTGGGTTCAATCCTTAACACCACATATAAATAGATAGATAGATAAAATAAAGGTACTGTGTTCAACTAAAACTAAAAATATCTTTTTTAAAAAAGTAATTACAGGACTGGGGTTGTGGCTCAGTTGGTAAAGCGTTTGCCTAGCACATGTGAGGCACTAAATTTGATCCTCAGCACCACATAAAAATAAATAAAGGCATTGTATCTGTCTACAACTAAAAATAATTTTTTAAAAGTAATTATATATTACATAAAAATGAATAAAATAGGAAGGTTAAACTGACCACCAATAACCAATAATATAACCAACCATGCCTACATAAGGAGCCTCCATCAAAGCCCAAAGATTGGGTTCAGGCAGCTTCTGTATGGCTGACCACATGCAAAAATTTGGAGTGGCATGACCACAAAGAGCATGGAAGTTCTACACCTATGCATCTCTTTCATCTGGTAGTTTATCTGTGTCCTTTGTAATACTGTTTATTGAAAAATGAGTAAACATGGGGGAAAATAAAAATGTACAAGTCAGTAATGTACCTCTTTAATTAATAACTACATTCAATTCAATAAAAAGAATTCTGCCAGCATCCCAGAAACTATGACAAGCTTTTTCCCTATTATAACTCTATGTAAACCTTAATATTAGATTTAAGTCATCTAGTAGGAGAAGTATTTTTAAAATAGGAAAATAGGAAATTTATTTAGAAATAGAGTTTTGGACTAAAACCACCAGTCCTAAAACCCCTAGCCAGTATTCTTCATTCCAGCCAACTGTCAGGTATATTAGTCCTTCCCTCTGGTTCAGCAAAGATGGAAGAAGGATATTATTTCCTAGGCAAGTTCCAAGTACCTCCACTTTGTCCTCTCATGTTTAGTTCCCTTCTTCTTTCAGATTTTGCTCCACAGATAAAAACTGACAAACACAAAAGACTCTACTCTGAATCACTGAAAATGAAGAACTTAGAAAAAGGAAAGTTCTAAGATTTATGATGTAAGACCATGACTTAGCCTTTTAATTATTGGGGAAACCAAACTTGACTAAACTGATTAACACAAAGCAGTCACCTATGCTTTTATAATTTTATGTATCTAAATTGTGAAATAACCTAAAACTTCAAGTTTGGATCTAATTTAGAAACACATCTCTTTTGGACATTGAATGTTTATCAAAATAGTGTGCCATTATTAAAAATGTTATTACTACTATGGAGATCACTGAAACACTTTTTATTCCTAAACTTATGTAGAAATATAAAATCGGATTAAGCATTAGACTGCTAATATTTTCAAGTAAATCTGAAACCTTGACTCTGAAAACAAACTTCTGAAATATCTTTTCTAGAGACTTGTATGTTTTTTAAAGTTCTCCAAAAGATGGAATACAATACAGATAAGGGTTGGTATGAAGTCAGGCTGGTCTCTCATAAAGAAAGGTGACTGCTGAAAATATAAAAATCAGCAAGATATACACAAAAAGTTGTATATCTTCAAAGCTTCTTGCTTTTTGAAAGAAAGTAACAGAACAGAAATCAAAGTAATATATGCCTTCTATCTTATTTTACAAAGGTATCAAAACATAAATCCAGTGAATTTAAGAACATATATAAAACCTAACTAGGGTTTCTACTTACACCTTCATTTTCAAGTCTGATTCCCACCATCTTCTCTGTATCAGAAATTTTCCCTTTTGAACACCTGAGGGGGAAAAAAAATTAAGAGACTACAGACTTCTGCTAGATAATTTTAACTTGGTCCATATTAGACTACTTTTAGAAATGATTAATTTATAAACAAAAAATCATCTGGATACATAATCCTCTATACCAGTGGTCAGCAATCTTTCTAAAAAGGACCAGATAGTAAACACTTCAGGCTTGGTAGATTTTATAGCTTCCATCACATCTTCTCAACTCTACCACGATAGTTTAAAAGCAGGAACAAATAGGATATAAATGAATGAGCATGATCATGTTCCAATAAAACTTTTACCTGTTAAAAAAAAGCAGGGCTGGCTTGTGGCTCAGTGGTAAAGCACCTGCCTAGCATGTGTGGGGCCCTGGATTCGATCCTCAGCACCACATAAAAATAAATAAAAATAAAGGTATTGTATCCAACTACAACTAAAAAAAAAAATTTTTTTAATAATAAAAAAAATAAAAAATAAAAAAAGCAGGTGGGCCAGAACTGGCCTGGTCCCTAGGCCATAGTCCACAAACTCAGATACAAAGAAACTATATCTAAAATCCTAAGACATACAGAATTACCTTCACTGGTCTTATATTAGAGATGCTCATTACTAAATATGCCGCCTTGCCCACAATCCTAAGCAGCAGCTACCTTTCCAAGTCCTAATGCCTAGGAGATTAAGGGCACACTCCAAAACCAGGCTAAGGCATGATTCAAGAGCTACTTATGGAAATGGACATCGTGGTGCTTACCAATAATCACCGCTACTTGAGAGGGTAAAGCAAGAGGATTGCATGTTTGGAGCCAGACTTGATAATTTATCAAGACCCTGTCTCAAAATACAATTTATTTATTTATTTATTTATTTTTAAATATTTATTTATTTTAGTTCTCGGCGTGCGGACACAACATCTTTGTTTGTATGTGGTGCTGAGGATCGAACCCGGGCCAACCCGGGCCGCACACATGCCAGGCGAGCGCGCTACTGCTTGAGCCACATCCCCAGCCCCTCAAAATACAATTTAAAAAGGGGCTGGGTGCCGCAGTCTGGCTGGGCACAAAATAACCGAGGCACTCGAGGCACGAGGCACTCGTAGGTTCAAACAGGAACTCCTTTATTGCCCGAACTCCACCGGCACTCCAAGTGCACTCCCCGGGAACTCTCCCAGCTCTCCACCGGGCTCCCGAGAACTCAACGGGAACTCCAACTCCGAGAGAACTCAAAAGTAGCGAACTCAAAAGTAGTGGGCGCCTGAGGCAGCAGGAGCCGCCCTATGGCCGGACAGCAGGGGTCTATATACAACTGAATACACAGCAGGTTTCAATCCAGCATCATCCAGTCACAGCAATTATACATAGCTTAACTTAATTATCATCATCTTAATGGCTCGCTGGCATCACCTCTCAACCACTCCTTCTGGCAAAAAGCTAGGCACCATCCTGACTCGACTCGGCTGTGGCTCTCAACAGCTGGGTAGGTTAGCTCAGTGGTCAAGCATTTGCCTAGCATTCACAAGGTCCTGGGTTCAATCTCCAATACCCACCCCCACCACATACAGCTATTTATATACATGCACATATATGCCTGACCAGCTACCAGAGTTGAAGACAATTAACAATTTCCTCAAACCTAGCTGCTCATAACCTTATAAAGTGAGAAAATACATAAGAAAACAGAATTAAATGAACAATGTACCTCTTTTCACTTCTCATTGGACATAGAGGTCCTCTGGTTTCAGCAACTCTATCTGTGGGGATGGTAAAGAAAAGATTAAATGTTTCCTTTACTTCAATCACAGGCTAGAATTTCAATTTCCAGTTTTAAAGTATCAGAACATTCATTTACTCTGAAACACTGAAGTGAACTCTAAAGATACCAGCCTCCTCACAAACTAAGTAGTCTAAAATTGCATCAAACTAATCTTTAGCATAGGCTGACTGATAATAGTTCATTTGATAAATTATAATTTAGTATCATCAGTAGACAGTTGATGAAGAAATATAGGCAGTTAACATAAGGAGTATAAGTAAATTAATTTTATATTCATAAAAAAGCCTCGTATTCTATGAATCAAATTCATCTTGAAACAGCTTTTTAAAAAATGAAACTCCTGGTACTAATAAGTATCAGTCAACGTCTTGAGGTTTAACAATATTTAAAGGCTTGGGACATCACCTGCCACTTGTGTGCCAATTTTCAACCTCATAGGCACACTCTAACATGAACTAAGGTCCATACATTAAGACAGAGCTAGATCTGGGAACTCACATTGTTTTGGAAAAAACTGAGTTGCTCTGACTCCGTGATTCTGCTCCTCCCCCCAGGCTTTGGTCTTTAATGTGTCCATCTGACTTCTTTGAGAACTTAAAAACACAAAAAGCAAGGAAGATCAGATACAAAAGGAAAGGCTACCTTAAATATTCATTACCTCTGTCTGACAAGATTCTCCAAACGGACTACCTTTTAACATCTCACAACAACAAAGACGCAGCAACACAGTAGCATCTGGGACTTGGATAAAAGCAATCTAATCTTGATTCCAATGTTTCAGCCAAACTCTCTAACCTCCATTTTCTGTATTTGTAGACTAGATGTTCTCTGCTGGGCACACTGGTGCACACCTTATAATTCCAGCCACTTTGAAGGCTAAAGTAGAAAGATTGAAAGTTCCAGGCCAGCTTTAGCAATTCAGTAAGATTCTGTTTCAAAAGAAAAAAATAAAAAGGGTTGGGGATTGCCAGGTGCGGTGGTGCACACCTGTAATCCTAGCAGCTTGGGAGGCTGAGGCAGAAGGGTTTCAAATTCAAAGCCAGCCTCAGCAAAACCGAGGCACCAAGCAACTCAGTGAAACTCCGTCTCTAAATAAAATACAAAATAAAGCTGAGGATGTGGCTCAGGGGTTGACTGCCCCTGAGTTCAATCCCTAGTACCAAAAAAAAAAAAAAAAAGATTGGGGGTTGTTCAAAGGTAGAATACCCCTGGATTCAATACCAACATAAACAAAACAAAACAAAACAACAAAAAAAAAAAAACCTAGATGACTAAAAGAAAATTCTATCTGCTTACTCAGATTAAAAGCTAAAAAAGGGCTGGAGACTATAGCATGGTGGTAGAGCACAGCATGCATGAGGCTTCAGGTTCAATTCCCAGAACCACAAAATAAATAATAAATAAATAAAAGATGAAACAACTTCAACTATATATTAAAACAAAACAAAACAAAACAGGGCTGGGGATGTGGCTCAAGCGGTAGCGCGCTCGCCTGGCATGCGTGCGGCCCGGGTTCGATCCTCAGCACCACATACAAACAAAGATGTTGTGTCCGCCGAGAACTGAAAAATAAATATTAAAAAATTCTCTCTCTTAAAAAAAAAAAAAAAAAAAAAACTCTAAAGCAATACATTAAAAGCAGGAACCTAAAAAAGCAAAACAGTTTTGAGGATTTTGCCAAAATGACAAAGCCAGTAGTCGTTATCAAGCCTATTGCTGTTTTTTTTACAGTGGCTAGTCAAAATGGAGAACATACTAACATTCTTAAGAGAATTAAAACACAAGAAAACAAAACATGTTCACAATCAAAGTTAAAATTCTTAATGAATTTATTATTTCTGGCTTTAACAAGCTAAACAGTCCTGTGACTCTTTCTCCTTCAATTTGCTGCCACATATAATTTGTGGAATCTGTGTTTTCATACAACCTATTAGATTTACCAAGTGAATCTCAATCCTGAGCTCACACATTTTTGTCCTCTTATCACAGGCCAGACATCTCCTTCTGCCACTCTAGTTTATTTAATTAACAAGCAATCTTATAAGGAAAATCCTTATGACTTGGGTGACTTTAATCTTATCTCTAAAGTAGAGAGTTTCCACGAATGCTAAAATACAATCCATGAGATGCTTCAGGGAGTGTGTATGTGTGTCTTGCAGATGGGGGTGAGGCTGGGGGCAGAAGGAAAGAAAAAAACAAGACTTGAGGAAGTGAAGGAGATAGAAAAAGGAAGAAGAAAAGAGAAATGGGTGAGCAGGAGAGAAGAAGCAGGGGAAAAAAAGAGGCAGAAAGAGAGAGATTATGGAAAAATGTATGTGTTGGGAAGGCTGGAAAACTGCCCTTGGAAACTGACTTCAACCAGTAATCCACTTTTCTAGATTAGAAGTTCAAGTAAGAGTTCACTTGGACAAAAGATTCTACAGCTAACAGAAGACTCAAAAAACACTGTTCTATATAACGCTTTATTAGATATAATGTCCAGGCAAATTGCAGTGTTAAACTTTTTTTGTTCTGAGGAGGAACCTGTGCCATCAATCTCTCTCCAAAAACAAAGAAAAAAATGTTTAACAAAGAAAGCATTTGTCTTTTAATTTTTACCTGTGATGATGTGAAGTCACAGGTGAGATAGAGTTTCCATGACCACCTTCTTTAAGTCGCTCCAATAATCTTCGGTACTTCTCTCTTTCCTCTTTTTGAACACCCTGAATAAACGAAAGCAGGGTAGATAAATACTAACACATTAAATGTAAAAGCAAATCATAATCAGAGGTCAAATGCAGCCCTAAGATGCATTTTATTTGCCATCACAATCTTTTTAAAGTTTCTTGAATTAGCCATAAACTTTATTAATTTTTTAAAAAGTCCAAAAACGCGGCCTCTTTTGAAAAATTAGATCATCAGCCTAGAGCTATATAGCACTATTCCCTTTAGATGGGCCATTTGCTCTCCATCTCATTTCACTCATTTAGCCATTTGCTAAATCTTAAAGGCATCTGAGTTTTTGAATGAATTAGACTGAACAAAATTGGGTTAACTGAAAAAAAGATTAGCAAAAATAATCCACTTGCAAAATCAGAATCCGTAGCTTCCAAAATGGAACTGGTTTCTGTAAAATCACAAATGGCCTTTTACTGGCCACATCCAATGTATTTTTTCAGCCTTTACATTATAAAGATCTCCCTTTAGCATTTCACCACCAGCTGACCTCGCCTTGCCTTCCTAGACAATAAACTCTTCTGATTCTTCTTTTCTTTTCAGTCTCCACTGAAGGTTATTCCTTTTCTGCCTGCCATAAATGCCGATGGTTTTGCCCATATTGTTTCTCACACTATGTTCTTTCCCTGAATAATCTCATCAGCTCCCCTGATTTGAAAAACATCAATTGCAGAAAATTCAAAAATGTGTCTCTAACCCTGCCTTCTTCTCAAAACTCCCATCACCTATATCCAAGAGTCTACAGGAGAGGTCTTCTTGCATGTTGCACAGGCACTTTAAACAATGTCCAAAACTGAAGTCATCATCTTCCCCCTAAACACATAGGGTATCTTGGTCAGTGACACGTATTTATCCAAGACTGAAATCTGGGACTTAGGCTCTTCCCTCTATGTTATATAACACTTAATCAATTAAAAAAAAAAGTCCTTGTTAATGTTACCTATCACTATTTCTAGAATATATCTTCTCTGTCTACCCCACAGACATTTGCTTATTAATCCTCTCTCTAGTTTCTCACCTAAGAGACTGAAGTCTTTAACATTTCTTCTTAAAGTTCCCTCAGAGACTGTGGTCCACTCTTCTCTCTGCCTAAAAGTTTGCTGAATTACAATTTATCTAAAAACTCCTAGAGGGCAAAGACCACATTTTATTCAAGTTTGAATATCTCACAACTATCATATCATAATACCTCAGACCCAAATAAATACCTTTTTGATGAATAATTGACTCAGAAAACTATCTAGCAAATTGAGATAGCTAATGGTCCTGGAATGCCAAATACAGAAATAATTCTAAATTTTCCTAGACCCAGTAAAGACCTCAAGAGAGAAATGAAGAGAAAAATGTCTCTTCATCATGCTAAATGCTCTGAAAGGGGAAGGAAAAAGCTGAGAAGCACACCATTTACTCTCTTACTAATCAGTTCTCAGCATATAAAAGAAACAGAATAATTCAGGCACTCAAAAAAAAATCTATGATTTTATCTCTTCCTAATGATTCCTTTTCCTTCTTTGTAGGGAAAAAACTACATCTGAAAATTGACTCAATTATTTACTCCAAATTAGCTCTAGAAGAACGTATACAGTAACAGTCATTGCTTGCTAAGAGTCAAACAGAGTAGTAGAAGACAGGTATGGAAGGCATGTTGGGAAATGTATAGCCATTGTACCCACTTTTGTACCTTTAGTATTCTGCACCATAGTACACATCATTCATCACCCAAAATATTATTTATTTTTATTTTTTTAAAGAAACCAGGCTAAAAGGGCTAAAAGGGCTTACCTCCTCCACGGTACAATGGGGACGTCTCAGACCCTTGCCACCCTCTTCAGAAATCATTTCTGTTACAGCCTGTTCCTGAGGTTTCCACAATAAGGAACTCTCTGGATTGGTTTTGCTATGGCGACGGCCACCTGGTCTTCTATTATAGCCTTCTGAGTTTAGAGTAAAGCTGACAAGAAGAAAAAGAATGTATCACAAAACTGCCTAAAGTGGTAGAATTCAAGCTCCTATATCAGCCTGTGATTATGCTGTCCTAACTTAAGCTTGCTACTTGTCAGAGAATTACCATTTGTAAAAGTTAGATCTATCTAGATACAGTTACCCCAGCATTCCACTAGAGAATGTGTATTTCCAGTCACAAGGGCTGTCACATGAAAGCTTTCTTCCTCATGACCAATCATCCAACCCCAAACCCAGATTTAGGTCCTACTGCATGCAACCCCATAACACCCATATTACACTTTTCCTTTAGTCACTGGGCACCACAAAAATTAATTATTGGTGTGACTATTTAATGTCTCCATACCACATTATGTCTTAACCACACTATGTCATAAAGCCTATGAAGAGAGAGATTATATCCTTTTATCATTATATCCAAGTATAGGACCTAAGCCAAGAGCCACTCAAATAATCTGAATGATAAATTAATAAGTATTAGGCTAGGCATAGATGCTGTGCACCCAGAGTCCCAGTCACTTGGCCCAGGAGTCCAAGGCCAACCCAGGCAACATAGCAAGACCCTTTCTCAAAAAAAAAAAAAAAAAAAAAAAAGTAAATTAATAAATGCTAAAGAAATTGAAGGCATGGAACCCTTCTTGAGTCATTGTGCTAGTAAAAGTTATCTGCTTCTCCTACCATTACCAATAATGAAACTGATTTAACTTGCCCCCCATTTTGAAAAGAATACAATGTCACTTATATAATACTACTACAAAAACACTACACAATCTGAAGTAAATCATGAGTAAACATCAGACAAAATTAAAACACTAGGTAGACGCAATGGCACATGCCTATAATCCAAGCAACTGAAGAGGCTAAGGCAGGAGGATTGCAAAAGACCCTCAGCAATTTATTGAAACCTGTTTTAAAAAAAAAAAAAGAACCAGGGATGTAGCTCAGTGGTAAACCACCCCTGAGTTCAATTCCCAGTACTTAAAAAAAAAAGATTTAAAAAAATTAAAATTAAAATTAAAAAGCCACTAAAGACAAAGACACACTAAGAAGGTGTTCCAAATTAAAGTACATCAAAGAGACATGAAAAACAAATGCAATACATAATCTAGCACTGGATCTCGGTTCAGGTAGGAAAAGAAAGCTAAATGAAAAAATTTAAGACCTACAGATCATATGATAAAATTATAGCAATGTTAAATTTTCTGATTTCATAACCTGTTTATGTAAATCAAAGTTCTCATACTTAAGAAACAACTCAAGAACTTTGGATTCAGGGGCAAGGTTATTTACCTAATAGAGTTTCAAAATACATGGAACAAAAACTGACCTACATGGAAGGAAAAATAGAAAAATACAAATTACAATAGAAAACTTTAAGAGTCACTCTTCACTCATCAATCAGTAAAGTAGAAAAATCAGTAAAGTCAAATGTATGATATGTCAAGATCATTGTACTGTCATGTGTAACTAATTAAAGCAAATAAAAATAAATCAGTAAAGTCTATAAATCCTATCAGTGGACTTGATATAATTGACGTTTACAGAACATCCTATCCAACAACAGCAGAATATAATACATTCTTTTCAAGTGCACATGGAATATCATCCAAATAGACCTTATTCTACACCAAAAAAACAAACACCAAATTTAAAAGAACTAAAATTATACAAAAATAGTCTCTGACAATAAAAGAATTAAACTAGAAATCAGTAACATGACAATATCTGAAGTGTCCCAAATATTTGGAAATTAAACAATATACTTCTAAATAAAACAGATTAGAAAATATTTTAAATCAAATAAAAATGAAAATCTACATTTCAAAATTTGGGAGATGCAGCTAAAGCAGTGTTTGTAAGGAAAATGATAACATTAAAATGCTTAAAGAAATAAGTGCACTTTTAAATATTTATCGCCCAAGAACAAGAACATCGCTTACCTAACAATACAATCATCAAATTTAAATTTCTCTGAAGCTATTAAAAATATCCATCACAGGGCTGGGGCTGTAGCTCAGTGGCAAAGCACTTGCCTAGCATGCCTGGGGCACTGGGTTCGATCCTTCTTCAGCACCACATAAAAATTAACAAATAAAATAAAGGAATTCTTTCTATTTACAGCTACAAAACAAAAATTAAAAAAATATATATATATCCTTCACAGAATTCTAGGATCTAATTCAAGATCTTGTGTTGCATTTTGTTGTCATATATCTTTGTTCTCCATTAATCTGAAAAGTCTTCATCTTTTTAATAGAGTATACAGATCTATTATTGATAGAATGAACTTTAATTTCAGACTGACTCACTTTCTCACAGATAGATTCAAATTATTGGTTTTTGCAGAAATAATACATTAAATGATGGCTTTCTCAATGCAATATATCTGAGGGCCATGTCAGTTGGTCTCACTTTTGGTGATTTAACTTTGATCCTTTTTGTTAAGGATGTGTCAGACAGGTTTCTCTAATATTTTTCCCTTTAAAATTAATAAATAATCTGTTGTGAGATATTTTGAGTTTATATAAATATCCCATACCTCATCAAACTTTTACTAACTAGTTTCAGCTTGAGATTCCCATTCACATCAATTACTGATAATCACAAAATGGTGAATTCTCTAATTTTATCATTCTTTCTGTGCTTATAGTAGGCATTCTATTACAAAGATGATCCTCTCTACATAATATAGATTTACTTACTTATATCTATATTCCTGTCTTTATTCATTTTGATACTTAAACTGTCCCCAGTTTGGCCAGTGAAGTTTCCTCTTTGGTTGGCATTTCAACAGTCTTCGAGCCCTCCTTTCTTTCTGGCACAAGATAATCCAGTCTCACTGTGTATTTTCCTCTTAGCCCTAGTCATTCATCCAACCCCAGAGGGTTAGTTAGTGTCTCACTCTTAAATAAGTGGACAGTCAAGGATTATCAGGTATTTGAACAAAGACTCTTCTTAACTTCAAAGGTAAGATCAAAATAAACCAAAAAGAAGACCACTCAAAGGAAACAGATAAAGCAGGCACAAGAAATTTCAAAACAATATTGAGATAAGATATTTTGCATCTTTATAATAAGAACAAGATATCTGGCAAAGGACACAAACTTGAAATGGGTAGGAAGAGGAGGACTCTTTCAACTTAAAAACTGTGACAGCTTAGAAAAAAAAAATCAGTAAAAAATGGTTTTGAAAAGAGAAAATAGCCAAGCACAGTGGTGCACGCCCGTAATCCCAGCAGCTAGGGAGGCTGACGTTGGATCATGAGTTCAAAGCCAGCCTCAGCAACTTGAGGCTCTAAGCAACTTAGCAAGATGCTGTCTCCAAATAAAAAATTAAAAAGGGCTGAGGATGTGGCTCAGTGGTTGAGTGTCCCTGTGTTCAATCCCAGGTCCCCCCCTCACCAAGAAAAAAGTAAAAAAAAAAAAAAAGAGAGAAAATGAAGTCAAGCTTGGTGGCGTATGTCTGTAATTCCAGCCTCTTGGGTGGCTGAGGAAGGAGATCAGTAAATTCAAGGACATCCTGGACAACTTAGAGAGACCCTGTCTCAAAATAAAAAATAAAAGCCAGGTATAGTGGAGTACACCTGAAATTCCAGTGACTCAGGAAACTGAGGCAGGAGGATTATAGGTTCAATACTAGCCTCAGCAATTCAGCAAGATCCTAAGTAACTTAATGAGTCCCTGTCTCAAAATAAAAAATAAAAGGGCTGGGTAAAAATGGGAAAGCCCCCCATCGATCCCTAAAATAAATAAATAAATAAAAATAAGAAGGGCTGTAATATGTCTCAGTGATAGACACTTATCTAACCTGTGGTGTAAGTACCCAGTATACCCTCCAACCCGACCCCGAGACACACACACACACACACACACACACACACACACACACATTCTAAAAATCAGATCAGATCACGATATGGGCATATATAACCCAAACTCAGTTCAAGTCTCTCAATTAGCTATATAATATTCAGCAACTTACTAACCTAAGAGTACTTCCCCTTACCTATGTCCCATAGTACAAGAGTGAAAATGCGTAGTAAAAGTAAAGACTTAATAATTGCTAGGTCTAAAAAAAAAATAATAATAATAATTGCTAGGTCTCCCCTTCCAGAAAGGCAGAATTTAACACTTACCCAAAGGAAGGCAGGACTCTACGTGGTTGATCTCGGGTTACTGTCACTCTGATCTTTGGATAGTCACTTATTCCATTAGGAGATTTATTACCTATTTGAAGAATGTATTTGTATTATGAAAGAAAAAGAAAACTTGTGAACACACTGAACTATGACAGGAATTTGTGAGCAATTTACATTTAACTGAATAATTTGTTTTTTCAAATTCTATTAATAGATGGCACAGAAAACCAGAATAAACATTGTAAAAAGTTAAAGCAAAGTAATAGGAGAGGCTGGGGATGAAGCTCAATGGTAGAGCACTTTGGCTAGCAGTGCATGTGGCCTTAGATTTGGTCCCCCAGCATCACAAAAGAAATAATAACAAATTACTTAATACTCAAACATTATGAACAGATTAAATTGAATTTAAATTAACTTTTTAAAATGATATATATGACTTCAAAGAATTAACAACTTGGGCTAGAGATGTAGTTCAGTGGTAGACTGCTTGCCTAGCATTCCTGAGGCCCTAAGTTCACTCTCTAGCACCTCAAAAAAGGAAAAAAAAAAGGGGGGGGGGGTAGAGAAGAAAGAAAGAAAAGAAACATCTTTGTTCCAAGTCCTCTAGAACTAGATTCTCAGCTGCAACAGCAGTATCCATTTACCTTTGCTCTTCTTTGCCACCAGAGGCACTTTACCATAAAATTTTGAGCCACATAACTCTAAGGTATTTATCATTTCCTTAGCTTCTTCCACTTCTGACTTTTGTACACACAGCTTCTCTACTGCTCATTTTCCCTAACTTCTCTCACTGTTCTCAAACTTTACAACTCTACCAACATAGCAGACATCACAACTATTTCTTAGAACTATGGATTCCTCCCACTATTCCCCATCATATTGTTTCGCATAGTATGGAAATAACTATAATTCTATTTTTAGGGTTTAATGATGATATGAAAGCCTCCAATCCATAAAACTACAAAATATATACCCACATGTGTATTATTATTTTTAGTTGTAATGGACTCAACACCTTTATTTTGCTTATTTAGTTTTTTGGGGGTTTGGGGGGGGGGTTTGTTTTTGTTTTTGTTTTTAATGTGGTGCTGGGGATAGAGCCCAGTGCCTCATGCATGCTAGGCATGCGCTCTACCACTGAGCCACAACCCCAGCCCTAGGAAATTTTTATTCTAACAAACAACTCTTAATCTAAGTCACATTAAGGAGACTGATAATATAAGTAGAAAACACAGCAGTAATTTCAACAACAATTCCAAAGGAAAGCTACAGGTAGAACATTCCTTATCCAAAAACCTGAATGCTGATGCTCAAAAAATTTATAGCTTCAGATTTTGGATTTTTGGCTCAGGGATGCTCAACTGGTTAAGTCCATGCAAATACTTTAAAATCTGAAAAACTCCAAAACCTGATAAATGTCTGGTCCCAAGTATTCCACATAAAAATACTTACTCAACCTGTATTTGATTTTTAGAATGGTAGAGAGAATATGTCTTTATTCTCATCCCAATCCAAATCGGTGTTTTCCTTTCATATTCTCAAAAACTTAGGGAAAAATGGGCAGAAGGAAGTACAGGGAAGCAAAAATATTTTTGAGCACCTCACCCAGTTTCAGCATGGTGTTCCAGGATCCAGAACCTGTCAGTTCACAAGATGAAGAGTTCGAAAATACCTTAAAACCAAACAGAATCACCTCTGTAGCATCTAAATTTTGCAAATAAGTTTCTAATATGAAAAGATCACACTATTTGTAATTATTTTCTTAGCTGGCTCAAAGAATCAATGTCATCAAGATTAAAGCTTTAATTTGTCAAGATATACAAAATGATGTAAAAAACGACAATAGCAGGTTCTTCACACAAAAGCAATTATATTATTAATACTTTTTAAATGTTTTTAAATTATTAAGTTTTTAATCTTTAATTTCTTGATCTTTATCAAGAAACTTCTTGATCTTTATCACAGCTAATAAGACACAAACATTTCTGGGAAGAAGTCATTTACATTAATTCTAAAAACAAAAAAAAAAATTTTTTTTTTCCTAAAATTTAACTTTACTGATTAAATACAAAGATCAGCAGCCTTTGGGGCTATGGGTGTAATTCAGTGGTAGAGCACATACTTAGCATGGATAAGGACATGGGTTCAATCTCAGCACCAAAAATACGAAACAGAACAAAAAAGGTCAGTATCCCCACTGACCTCTTCTGAAGGGGCCACATTCCGTGTTCCATTACAAGCAGAAGTCACCATAGGCTTTGTGGTCAGCTGGAATGGGAATCCAAATAAGCTGGCAGCATTGTAGAGACTGTTTTTCACTTGGTGAATAAAGCAATCTAGAAGATGTCAACAAACTTTAAATACAGAGTAATAAACTTCTAGGAAAAAAAAGTTATATCTTGGAAAGAACCTCTCGCAATTTTTATTAAAAGTCCAATTTCCAAGCACTAAAATAAAAAGGTATATATAAAAATATTTTTTTCTAAATGAGTAACTGGAATTCAAGTATTGTGATTTTTAAACAAAATATCCAAGATGCTAGAAAAACATGGAACCATCATTTTAGCAAATCACAGATTCACAAAGAAATGTGCTGAAATGGCAACTTTTAAGAAGTGACTTCTCCAGAATACATAAAATGAATTTTTACCAGAGAGGTGAGAGCATAATTAAACAAGGATCATATGCCACTAGTTATGACAGAATCCTACAAGAAGCAGTCTCATTTCTCCCCTGATTTGTCTTTATTTCCCAGGCAGGTAACATTTGCTCTCAACAACTACTTACTAAGCCCTCATTCTATCTTGGCTAGGTGAAGAATAAAATATGAAACTCTTAAGCATCTATGGTGAAATAAGGCCATCCCTCTCTCTGCTGGATTAGATGTGTTGAAAGATCTGTTTTATCTCTTCCTGCCACCAAAAATAAAGACCACAAAATTAAGAAGTAAATAAATAAGGAGGAGGGGTAGATTTCAGTACTTTCCCACTTCCTCCTTTTATAATACTACCTTTTTCTCAATTCCTACACACGTATGTTTTCCATAATTTCCTTTATATATCCTAATTAAGGGTATTTAAGCTAACAGTTTCTGCCTCAAAGCCTGCAATGGTGGCTTTAGCCAATAAGAGCTCCAGAATATGTAACTATAAAATACTTTTCAGAAAGACAGGAGAACAACTAAGCAAATGGGAGGATGTGATGGCCAGGTAAAGTAGAATCCAACTTGAAGTAATTTATTATACGATGATAGTTAAAAATATCAAAGTTTGCAAATGAGTTTTTTCTTATTTTACAATTCAAGGTTATTCCTACAGTGCTGAAGGGTGCAATTTTTATTCTGCTATGAATATAAGTAAGAGAAAAAGCATATTAGGGATTGATGCTTAACCCACACTGTCATTTAGATACCAGAGAACAAGAGGTACCCCTTAATAACATATTAAATAGTAGTCACTAAAAAGTACACATTTTATCCAAAATTTGGGTATGACCTGAGATTAAGTCAAAAGATTGTACTGATTTTTTAAAAAAGGAATGAAGGCAGTCCTGCCTTATCTGTAACATGGGAATAAGATTACCATATTTTCCTGAGATTAGGCTAAATTTATCTCTTATAATCCCTTTTAACTATAAAAAATCATGAGTCTGTGATTCTGAGATCCTTTCTTTTACTCTTGTTTCTTGTTTCCTCTCAAAAGCAACCAAGAATTGTATTGTTCAACATAGCTACAGATAGGCAGGCAGATGTGGTTACCTAGTAATTTAATTAAAGTTAAATATTCAGTTAGTAGCCAGATATGGTAGCACACATATGTAGTTTCAGCTACTTGGGAGGCTAAGGCAGGAGGATCATAAGTTCAAGGCCAGTCCAGGTAACCTAGCAAGACTCTGTCTCAAAATAAAGTTTAAAAATGGCTGGGGATATAGCTCATGGGTAGAGCATGTGCCTAGTAAGTACAGGCTCTAGGTTCAATCCTCAGCACTGGGGGGAAAAAAAAAATTCAGTTACTGAGTCAAATTAGCCATTTCAAGTGCTCAAGAACCATAATCATAGGAAGTTCTAGCATTTTATAGACCTTTAATAACTCCCTAACAAGTACTGCCTCTGCTACCCACCACTTCCTCTTTGATTTATTCCCTTCTATAGTAGTCTGCCACTCAAAAAATCATAGTACAAGCCAGGCATGGTGGCCCACACATGAAATCCCAGTGACGTGGGAAACTGAGGCAGAAGGATCACAAGTTCAAGACCAGCCTGAGCAATTTAGTGAGATCCTGTCTCAAAATAAAATTTAAAAAGAACTGGGGATGTAGGAGCTTAGTGGTAAACACCCTTAGGCTGAATCCCCAGTATAAAAACAAAAAGAAAGTCCTAATGCATATTTAATAAAAATGACAGAATGGGTGATCCTTAACATAGAAGGCCATAAAATAGGTAATTACCACAAATAGTTCAGGAACTTTCTGTAATACCACCAACAAAGGTTTTTTTAAACTACATTCAAATACAAGCTAATATTTATTTATGCTTTTCTTTAAAGTTGACTCACTTTTTTTGCTTAAGTAAATGTACATATGATAATTTTAAACTACCACTATAAATATAAAACCAACATCATATGATTTATAAAGAAAAGACTATAACTTTCTTATTATAATCATGATTCAAAGGTAACATGTTACAAATGTTATATTCTTTAAAACCATTAACTAAATTGGTATCTATCCCATGCTTTGGGACATAATGTAATGAATACAGTAAAAATTCCTTTATTAAAAATCTCCAGTGATTTGCAGGGCGCAGTGGCACACACTTGTAATCCCAGAGGCTTGGGAGACTGACACAGAAGAACTGCAAGGTCAAAACCAGTCTCAGCAATGGCACGGCCCTAAGCAACTCAGTGAGACCCTGTCTCTAAATAAAATATAAAAAAAGGGCTGGGGATGTGGTTCAGTCGTTGAGTGCCCCTGAGTTCAATCCCTAGTAATCCTCCCCGCTCCGAAAAACAAATCTCCTGTCATTTGACCTGTTTTCAGTCCATATTTCCCCCCAGCTTTAATAACTATTGCCTAAATCTGCACAATTTGCCCATGCCTAGATTGCTTTTCATTCCTATTGATCTCTTTTGATATCCTACCTATCCATCTTACATTCTACATCCTTCCTCAAAAATTATGAGACTCAACCAGTTGAAAATTGGATACAATTTTGAAACTGCCTTTCTTATGTCATTTACCATGTCTTCACTGATATTAGTATTAATTATGTATTTTATTTTACACCCCTTGCCATGTAATCACATAAGGCCCTTAAAAAATAGAGAACCTGTTTTACTAATTTTTGTATTTCCTGTAGAACCTAACACATTTTCTGTAGAACCTAAGGGCTGAAGATGTACCTCAGAGGTAGAGTGCCTAGCATGTGTGAGGTCCCCAGTACAGCCAAAAAAAAAAAAAAAAAAATCAAAATATCTAAATAACTATCACATCTGGAATAGACCTAAATTCACATTACTGTTGAGAAACAGTAGAATATAGTATTCTACTGAGCCTTTTCCCTTTAACCTAGTTTTATTCTCTTCTAACCCTGAAGATACATAGAAATAAAAGATTTGTGACAACAAATTAGATCACTTCATTTAATCATCTGAACTTCATCACAGTTTGAAGTCATTTTTGCAATGCTGTTTTAAAGAAGGACTTAAAACTTCAAAATGCAAATTCCATAAATTCATTTATTTATCTGGAAAGATATACAAGTTCCTAGTAACAGTGGTTACCTCTGGAAAATAACTGAGTAGAAAAGGGACAGAAAAGAGACTTTTCACTGAATATACTTTTTATCTTTTGAATTTTGTTCCATGCATGTTTTCCCACTAAAAAATAATTTTGAAAAATTATGTTTAGTACCTAATCTTGGTCTTTTAGCAGGTATTTCATCAGTGTCCACTGTAGAAAACAGAGTGCTGAAAAAAAAGAAAAAATATATATATAATCCATTTCTAAAAATAAACTAAATAAATAAATAAATCCAAATCTATAAATAAACTTAACCAGTCAAGACTGGGATATAACTCAGGACTAAAGCTGTGTTTAGCATGCACAAGGCCCTGGATCAAAACTCAACACCAAAACAAAAAATATTACTGTTCTTATCATACCAAACATCCCTCTTTCATTCACTTTGTCATAAAATGAGATCCAATTGATGTTTTAAAAGATAGTCTCTTAAAGTAGGCTGCTAGCATTTGAGGGTTTAACACTATGGTTTCAACTATTTGAGAGACCCAAATTCTTTATCACATAATAATGAGTAATCTGGCTAAAATTCAAACAATAAATAATTTCCTTTTGAAAGATGACCCACCTGAAAAAAAAGCCATCTCTTATTTCAGGGACAACATAAGCAGCCTTAAAAGATAATTCCTAGCTAGGTATGGGGGTACAAGCCTATGAGTCCAGCTACCTGGGAGGCTAAGGCAAGAAGATCGTAAGTTCTAGGCCAGCTTTAGTGAGAACCTATCTAAATAAACAAATAAATAAATAAATAAAATTTAAAAGAGCTGGAGACATAGCACAGTGGTAGCTGTACCTCTGGGCACAATCCCAATATTGCGGGGGGAGGGGGAGGCAGCTCTTAGCTAGAAAAAGGTGTTACATTTAACTGCATTTTTATAATGGGAATTATATTACAGTGGTAATAATTTGGAAATTCAGGGAAGTTTCTGGCCCTATATATCAAAATATTAAAGGTTAGTATATTAATCATCTTTCTGAATCCTTCACCTTAATCAGGCAGAAAGGAAGAATGAGTTGAAACCATATCCAATTTTATCAATGACCTGCATTCCAGACTTATGTATTAATCATTTTACTCTCTTAAGCTCCCCTCAAACCAACCCTTTGTCTACCTCTCTTGTCTTTGAGACTTAATTAAAACATGAAATTAGGCTGGGCATGGTGGTGCACATGCTATAAGCCCTATTACCTGGGAGGATGAAACAGGAGGATCTCAAGTTGGAGGCCAGCCTCAGCAACTTAGGGAGACTTTGTCTCAAAACATAAAAAGGGTTGGGATATAGCTCAGTGGAATACACTCTAGGCCAGGCATTATGGTGCTCGCCTATAATCCCAGCTACTCAAGAGGCTGAGGCAGGATGATCTCAAGTTTGAAGCCAGCCTCCACAACTTAGCAAGACCTTGCCTCAGAATAAAAATTTTAAAAAGGCTAGTAAACTGCCCCTGGCTTCAAGTCAACCCCTAGCACAGGAAGAAAAAGGAGTGGGGGAAGGAAGTAATTGACACTTGATCATCCAAAATTAGGAGGTATACAGAATTTGTTTCATTTTCTAGATTAATTCTTAGGTAAGGCATAATTCTTCGGCAAGCAAAGATATTATAAAATGAGAAGCAAGGGAGCAGATAATGAGCAAGAACGATCTGTAGTTTCTCTTTTAAGTGAATGAGAATTCACACTAGTGATTTTATTTAAGAGGAGGCAGGTACTTTTTTTCCCCCTTCATACACTAATTCTAAAGGAATTAGTTAGTTACATTTAACTGCATTTTTATAAACACCCTTCTCCTTCCGGCCCCAACACACACACACACACACACACACACACACACTGTTCGACAGCTGTTTTAGAACAAGACAGCTGCTGTTTCTTGGTGCTAAGCGAACAGTACTTGCAGTCAAAACGAGCTGGGGCAAGTTACCAATCTCACTTCCCTTAACTGCGTTAACTGTCCGCAGATGACACTTCGGAGTGTGCATGTAAACAGAGGGCCACAATAAAGGCAGTAATTCTTTAATTTTTAGTTTTTAGCTTAAGAGCAGTAAAATACGAGAAAGCCTCATTTGTTGTCAGTAACCAGCTTGGACTCTGACAAGAATATTAAAGATCCTATGATCAACGACCACTCCAAAGACAAACAAGCTCCTTCCTTCCATCAAGAGCCGCGTCCCCAACACCTTGGCGGGAGCGACTACGTCACCAGGATACCAGCGACCCGCAGCTCCTGGGCTTCAGAAGAGCGGCCGGTTTAGGGGGAACAGGGCCTGCGGGGCTGGATGAATGCTCTCCTGACCAAGGAGCCGCGGTGGAGGAGGGCGAACAGCTAGGCCGGCACTCAGCCTCTGCTCTTCTCACCTGTTCGAGCGCCGCCTCTTCAGGAGAGCCCTGGCAGGGGGCACCGACCGGTCGCAGAAGCGGAAAATGGTGCCGAGAATCCTAACCAGCCATCTGTACATACCAGGCCCGAGCAGCAGCGGCGGCCGACACACCCCGAGACGCAAACCCCAGAGCTGTCGCCGCCGCTGCCGCCTTGGCCACCACCACCAAGGATCAGTCGCTGGCTTGTGACGCGATCCGTGGGCCCATAGATACAACGTTCTCCGGGCTAGGGAAGGCCCCCACCCGCCACCGCTCCCGACGTCACCTCCTCCCGCCCTACCGGAAAGCCTCATCCTCAATCTACGCACGCGCAACCTAGCACCGCCTTTTATCCTCGAGCCTAGCAACAAGAAAGCCTGTTAGACGGCCGGGTCCAATCGCTGGCCAGACTGGAAGAGTGGTTGGCGGGACTTTCTCTTTGGCGGAGCCAATCCAAATCCGCCCGGGAGACAAGGCCCACGGAGTAGAAGTGCCGCAGCTAGGCTCTGGAGGAAGAAGCGTTCTGAAGTCGTGAGCGCATTTGGAACCCAGCTAATGATTGTTTAGTGAGCTCAATAAAAATAGATCAGAGCAATTAACAAATGTTTACCGTATTAGGGACCCTTTATTTTGCATATACCTGTGCCTCATATTTTACGTGCATTTTCACCATACTTCCTAGGAACCGAATGCGATAGGAAGTCTTACGCCCAGTTCATAAATAAGGAAAACGAGGCATAAAGAAATTAAATAACTTTCCTCAAAACACAAAGCTAGTAGAAGCAATGTTGAAATTTGAGCCGGGGTCTGACTACTAGCACCAGTTTCACACCCTTGAATTCACACTACCTGGAAGAGGATTGTACATAGATAATTACAAATTACAAGATAACTGACTGCTATGATAAAGGAGTGTGCAAAGTGCAGTGGAGCTAGAGGAACCAAAACCACATGCTAGGAGAGAGGGAAAGGGCAGAACTCCTGAGGATGGCTTCACAGTAATAAGGTTGAAAAGATACCTATGGCTTTATAATACACTTGTCTCCTCCTCTGATCTGAGAGGGAGTAATTCTTAATACCCTTCCTGTAGAATCTAGAGGTCAAACTGTGCGTGGTAGAGCTGTCCTGTAATCCTAACTACCACTCTGGTGGCTAAGGCAGGAAGATTCCAAGGAGGCCAGTCAAGGCAATTTATGGAGACCCTGTCTCGGGAAATAAACAAAAAAGATGCGGTAGTGTGTGTTACAGGATTCAATCCCAGTTACCACTAAATAAATACATAAATAAATCTAAAGGCCACACTTCTGGTTATCAACTTTTGAACAAATTACACCCTATTTAACCCAATGTCTGCCCATAAACAATACAGGGAAACTTCAAAGGTTTTTGTGCTCCACAATAATTCACTGACTACTTTTTCTTGGCCTGTGATTCAGTGAAGAACAGGTTTCCAGACTTTATTGAACTTAACCCAGGCCTGTCCAGCCTCCTTCTCTCAATAGCATTCTAGAATTCTGCTACATGTCACCCTGTTGTAGGGACAAATGAGGCAAGGCACCGAAGATAGCAGGAAATAGTTTTATTCAGAGGGCACAGCTTTTGCTATAATCAATCAGTCCCCTGAACCCCGAGTTCAGGTAGTATCAGAGTTTTATACCCAGCATGCAAAGGGAGGGGCTCAGAAGTTCACAGTCTGTAGAAGTTCACATGGAAGCAGCTGTTTCTTTCGCTGTTTTAGGCAAGTTAACCCTTCCGGGACAACATCTTTAGAAGGGGAGAGCTTTTTCTTCCTTTCCTTTCCTCCCCCTGCCAGCTGTTACCATGGAGCCCAATTGGTAACTTATCTTGAAAATGTGGACATCTCTGTGAAGCCCAGCTCAAGGCCAGAGGCCTTGTTTGCCCGTTTCCACAAACTACTATACTGGATACATTTGTGAAAAACTAGTAAGGGGGTGTTCAGCACCTGGAGTGCCGGTACCTTCTGGGCCAGTGGCCAAATAAGACAGGGTGACATGAAAATAGGAAGTTTATCTACATTGAACTCTTTTGCAGAGACTCTTTTGCTAACAGTCCTAAAATCAGCCATGGTGAAGATTTCTGGAGAAGCCCAGTTAAGACTTTCCTATGGAGAAAGGGGGTGCCACTTCAACCTAACTAGAGACACCACAATCCTGCCCTGAGAGGTGAAAGGCAGGTCTTAAGAGGGTAGAAACCAATTCTAATGTGCAGATACTTCCCTTAATTTCCCTAACGATAGCGAACACCAACATATTACTGAAAGTTTTAAAAGGGAAGTTTTAAATTTATTCTTTTCTCTCTGAAGCCTTGATAATGTTAGTCTATGTAATAAACCAGCAATAGACAGATTAAAAGGGGAAACATTTAATATATAAAAACATGGGAGTCATACACAAAATAGGAGACTCAAGAAGGGATAGAGAATTTAAGCTTAAATAGAGCTAAACAAGCTGGACAGGCATGGTGGCACATGCCTGTAATCCTAGCAGCTTAATGGCTGAGACAGGAGGATAGTGAGTTCAAAGCCAGCCTCAGCAATGGTGAGGCACTTAGCAACTCAGTGAGACCCTTTCTCTAATAAAATCAAAATAAGGTTAGGGATGTGGATCAGTGGTCAAGTGCCCCTGAGTTCAATTCCTGGTACAACCCACCTCCACTCCCCCCACCCATGCCCCCACCCCCACACACCACCCACCCCTGCAAAATAGAGCTGAACAAAGGGAAAGGGGCTTAGTGTCCAGATGAAAGGGAGGTGGGTGGCAACTGGCTAAGGAAGTTTGAGGGAAAGCTAGCACAGAAAGTGAGGGTTGTCTTGTGTAGTAAAGTCTACTAGGTAATAGCCATGTATCAGATGCCTGTGTCACAGTGTGTGGTGTGTTTCACTGGGAATCAAACCCAGGGATTCACAAAGCTAGGCAAGTGCTCTACCATGAAAACTACTTCCCCAGCTCCTCAATCTCTTCTTGCCATGAAAATACCTTTCTTAGGCAGAAAAGGGGTTACCAAATAGAAAAATCTTTATATATATATATATATATATATATATATATATAGAGAGAGAGAGAGAGAGAGAGAGAGAGAGAGAGAGAAAGAGAAAGAGGGAGAAATACATTTCAGAGCCCGGAAGGGTAGCGCACGCCTGTAATCCCAGTAGTTCCAGAGGCTGAAGCAGGAAGATAGTTCAAAGCCACCTGTAGTTCAAAGACCCTGTATTTAAAAAAGGGCTGGGGATGTGTCTAAGGGGCCCTGGGTTCAATCCCTAGTACCAAAAAAAAAAAAAAAAAAAAGAAAATATTTCAGAGGAACATTTGAAATAATAGAAGAGTTACAAAACTGAGAAGACTTGAAAGTGGCTATTAGATATACAGTGTTTATAACCCCTTGCCTATTGTCTCCCAAAGGGACTCCCCTGTACCTTCAATTTCATCTTTGCCCCTTTTAGGGTGGATTCCCTGTATACTTGTAACAGGGGTTCACTTGATACTTTGACTATATCCCTTGTGGGTTTGAAACTTACACTTTTTTTCTTTTTCCCAGCCTTCATTCTCCCTGATCTTCTTTCCCTAATCTTCTGCTTCCTGATCTCTACTTCTTTATTATTATTATTATTATTATTATTTATAGATGGACACAATATCTTTATTTTGTTTATTTATTTTTATGTGGTGCTGAGGATCGAACCCAGTGTCTTACATGTGAGAGGCAAACGCTCTGCCACTGAGCCACAATTTCAGCCCCTCTACTTCTTTTTTTAAAATATTTCCTTAGTTGTAGATGGACACAATACCTTTATTTTCTTTATTTATATGTGGTGCTGAGGATTGGACCCAGTGCCTCACACATGCTAGGCGAGTGCTCTACTGCTGATCCAAAACCCCAGCCCTGATGGTTACTTCTTAATTTCATTTTCTCTGAATCACCTCTTTAAAAAGCCCCTGAATACTCTCTTTAAAAAGCTGATGGGCAGAATCACATCCTTTGGGACAGGAGTCCCCTGTGTTTCTCCTTTGCTAGCAAAGCAATAAACTGTCTTTTTCCTTTTTCTCAAAACCATGTCCTCATTATTGGGTTTGCATCAGGGACAAGGACCAATCTTTCCGTAACATACTTAATGAAGAGCCAATTAAAAGAAGACAACTGTTGGCATTATTATGCAGAACAGTTTATTTATGTCTTAACCATTAATTCCAGTGTGAAAACTGTTTTTTGCTGTTGCCAAACCAAAAAGCCCACCATTATAGGAAGGGGATTCTCTAAAACAAAAGAGCAGTTTTTGTTCAAACAAATCAGAAAACTGAAAACTGCATCAGAATAGCAATCTATCCCAGGTCTAGCCACAGGGATTTAGGTCACATAGCACTCCAGTGCAACATCACAACACAAACATTTTTTCCTTTGTTCCTTGTTAATAGTGCCAACATAAATGCAATATTGAAATATTGGTTATCTGTCATGAAAGTTTCAAGGCTTGGGGTTACAAACCTGAATCAGAATTCCAGAGTGTCATCAGCAAAATAACTCAGGAAGGAAGTGTGGAAACCCCCAACCAGTTTAGTTACCCTCTGAATAAAGAAAAAGAGGGTATGTTTGCTCTTATGTTTGCTCCTACCTGAGATTTGTCCTGAAGTTTTTATCTTTGATGCCCTTTGATCCACAGGAAGTGCAGGAGCCACTGCTTGTCCACTGACCAAGAAGCAGGCTTATCCTTAACCCCAACCCCACCACTACCATAGCCATTCCTGAACCAAGGAGCTCTTTATTGAAGGGTCAGAGGAGAATCCCAAGGTCACATAGAGAAACATGAATATGGAGATTTCTGCCCTTGACTTGGCTAAACTGAAACCTTGTACCAGTACTGCCTCATTGTTTAAACTTTTGCAGCATGTTCCAAACTGAAGTTCCAATTTCCCAAAAACCTTCTCCTGGGAGCCCTCACTGAGGTCTTCTTCAAGTCCTTCCACAGCCCTACCCTCATTTCCTCAAAATCTACTTCCCCTCCACAGAGCAGTGAAGACCAGCCTTCTGATCCATTCTTGGAAATTTTCCCTTCTGGTGCATTCCCAGAAGATTCAAAGATTGGTGTAGGAAGGAGTGGGGATATACCTCAGAGGCATAGGTCTTTCCTTGAATGTGCAAGGCCCTGTGTTCAACCTCCAGTGTGGCAAACAATAAATAAATAAGTAGAAAGTAAATCAGATTGGAAAA